ACCTTCTAGATGATCATTCTGGCTAAGAATGTCTCAGTGTGGTAAAAGGAAGCAAAGAAATGGGATAGCAGTATTCATGCAAAAATTTAACTGAATATGATGAAGTACAGTGTCAAAATCTTGTTTTGAAGATGGGAGACATTTTGTTCTCATTCTCAGATGAAAAGGTAGAGCTCAGAAAGGGTAAGAAACTCCAGGTCATATGACTACAGAGAGACAGACTCTCAAAGTAGTGCTTTGGCAATGACCCACATTTTCTTTGTACCTGTAACATCTCTCTATTTTTATAGTATAGACTGAATACAGAAAAACATTGGGTTCCCACCACCCTTGAAAATATCCTTTGCTGTATATGCTTTTTGTTTGTTAGCTTGTTTTTTTGGAAACAGGGTTCAAACTCAGGTCCAACTCAAAAGCTTATGACTTTACCTCATTTCTTTGGTACCTTTGATTTGTAGGCAAATTAACAAGTAGATGAAATAAAAATCATGTTTTCTAGTAAAATAATAGAAAGTAGCACTAACATCTTCATATATTGTATAGGGTGAAGGAACAACTTAGAACAAACAGTATGTTTGCATGCCAACACTGCCTAACTCGGCCACAAGGGGATCCCGCTTAAGTTCATTCCAGTAGGCTTGCTATTTCAAAAGTCACTTTATGACTGCCCTGGGTATGTTCTCACCTACCTTGCTTTTTTTGAAGTCAAAGCTTTGTTTTCATTCAGCTTCCTTCCTCCACTTTCTATATATTAAAAAAAAAAAAAGTGCATACATATAAATTTACTTCTGTGCATTTAACATATGTTAAATAACATACATTTTACACTTCTTAACTATATTAGGAATCCATACATGTAACTCAGACGATGAAACAAAAGATATAAAATCACAAGGGGAAATCCAGTACTCTCTAGTGGTTTAAAGATGACATAAACTTTTCACTTTGCTAATAGTGAAACACTAAAGCAGTGTCCATAGTATCTGATCCAGTTCTTATTTCCTTTTTTATAAATTTATTTTTATTTTATGTGCATTGGTGTTTTGCTTGCAAGTATGTCTGTGTGAGGGTGTCAGATCCCCTGGAACTGGAGTCACACATAGTTGTGAGATGCCATGTGGGTGCTGGGAATTGAACCTGGGTCCTCTGGAAGAGCAGTCAGTGCTCTTAACTGCTGAGCCATCTCTCCAGCCCCAATTCCTATTTTCTAATAGGAAACAATACCTGTGGTGTTCCGTGCACCATCTTTCCATGTATCTGGAGTGATAACTCTGCCGAGTTTCTTTTCACCTGTTATAGCAAGATAGCAAAAGGAAAGTAGAATTAGTATCTAATAAATACACCATGTGGAAATAAAATAAGCCCATTTCTTTTCTAATTTTAAAATAATAAATATACTATATCATTCCTGAGGTTCAAAATGACATTATGTCAGATTATAGTAGGAGCCTGCTAATGTTGGAGTAGAAACCAGTGAATGAAGACTTAAGGTAGTAACTGTGGGCAATGGATAACTGATTCTAAAGAAGGTTTACTGGACAATAAGATGCTTTTGCTGTTTATATTTTAAACAATTCTGACAAACTTCAACATTTCCTAATTACCCAGTATGTACAAAACAAGGTACTGATGAAAATAAAGCCTTGAATCTAGATTTCAGGGGGCTTATACCAAGTTCACTAGTTTCTTAAGAGCTTGTAGGTAGATCATAGGAAATAAATGAACCAGGTGGATTGGTACACAAGCCTAACATGTCTATTTCTATTTTTTCTTGTTAAGAATCTATAGCGTTTATCAGATTTTCAAAGTGATCCGAGACTTTAAAACAAGTGAAGAACCCTTCAGTAAAAATATAAGTTGGAAAATAAAGTATGACAGTTGTGAGCTAATTGAAACAGTTGACATATCTGGCAATAAAAATATAAAGAAGATGAAGTCAAACTTCATAGATAAAGGACACATCCTGAGGAAAGGCGTGGGAAGTTCAGGGTCTGCAACAGCACCAAGTGTGACGGCGTAAATGCTGGTGAAAATGAGGCTGGAAAGATAAGCCAGGGCCTCATCTGCAGAGGGTCTTAGACACCCAAAATAGCCAGAGTTCCTGCCTACTGTTTAAGTAGGGAAAAGGTGAGGGTGGAGAAGTGAATTTGACATGGATACATCAATGGAATGGATGTGCTAGCTGAGGCCAAACACTTCCCAAAGATTTATGGAGCCAGAGAAATAAAGTAGATCAAAAAAAAAAAAACCCATCAAAAACAACAACAACAAAACAATACAAAACAAAAAACTACCTGGAATTTAGTAACTGAAAGGTCAAAGCTTAAAAGTTCTTTTAGTAGCACAGAAAGCCAGTTTGTACTATAAAGCTGTCAGAAGTAACTCTAAAAATCTGGAGACAACTTTTGGCCTAATTTATGACACGAGGAATGACAGAACTATTGTGGTTGCCTGACAGTATGGCTTTTGTATGAGCATACTTTTACTTGCAGGGCGAATGTGATGAGCAGACAAACTAGGAGGTTAAAAATAATAAAACACCAGATATTTTTTTCAGAAGAGCAGAGAAGTAAATAGTGGGAGGAGGAAACGACCTTTTGAGGCACATAATAAAGCCCAAAGTATGTGCATTTTATGTTAATACCACAACGGATCTTGGATTCTCAAAATTTTTATATTTCTTGGAGATATTAACTCACAATTTCCTTCTATCCTCAATGCCTGGTGGGACAAAGCACTTAACAGCATAAGAAGAATCACAAATAGCCGGGCAGAGAGCGCGCATGCTTTTAATCCCACTCAGGAGGCAGACACAGGTGGATCTCTGTGAGTTCGAAGCCAGCCTGGTCTACAGAGCTAGTTCCAGGACAGGCTCCAAAGCTACAAAGAAACCCGATCTTGAAAACCAAAAACAAAACCAACAACAAAGTTTTCAACAGATTTCAAGGGTTTCATTAGAACTAAAAGGGTGAAAAAGATCCTTTCTGGAAGCCAGAATATGAAATACACATATTTCTTTGGCGATTTTTGAGACTTTCTTCTTCTCCTGACCCAATGCTGTGGGTGTGGACCGGATGGCACAAAATACGCAGTTAAACTTAACCTGTATTAAATGTTGCACTTTTAGACTCAAATACTATAGGGACATACTACTAGTACTAGAAGCGATTTCTTGTTTATAATCTTAAAATGTAACTGAAAGCCTGGAATTTATACTTGCTACACCTGGCAAACTCTCGATGCTACCGAAAGACTTTGAAGATCCCTTTGAAGCCTCTTGGAACAGTCAAGAAGTTGTAATTGAAGAGATCCAGGAAGAAGGGCGGGATGGGAGCAACAGAAACAAGCAGAGATGCAGAACTGAGACCACTCTGAACACAAAGCATAGAACTATGCAGTCCCAGGGACAGGCAAGAATGACAGGGGGGCATGAAGGAAGACAAAGGTCAAAACCACAGCCCCGCAGGAAAAAAAAAACAAAGGTCAGGACCCCGAGAGAATTTCTTCAGGTCCCTCCGGCCTCCTCCTCCCACAGAAGCAGCCCTTAACTTACATTTTTCGCACACCATCCTTCCACGAACGGTCCCCTCAACCACCAAGGCAGGAGCAGCGGCCAAAAGACATCAACAACACAGCCGGGGAAGACTTCCCCTTCCGGCTACGTCAGCCCGCTTCCGCTCTCAGCATCCAGCTCTAGCCTATCCCGCACCCGGAAAGCCGCGGGAGGGTCAAACGAGAGCCGATGGGCGGGGCTTCTTTCATTGTCCCACCCCTCTTCACCAACGATTGGCTGTAGACTTGGGAATCCCCACCTCCTGGGTCTGCGCCTGCGCGAGGACCATGGCAGCCCGTCGCACCTGAGGAGGGTGGGAGGCTGTGGTGTCCCCTTCCCTGCGGCGGGCGGGAGAGTTAGGTAAGCCGGCGGCGTGCCCCTCGCGCTCGCCGGGGGCCGGTGCAGGACTCTGCCGACTGCTGCGGTGGCCCCCCCCGAGCGCCACGCGCCCTGCGGACCCGGGGATGTCCGCGCGCGGACCGGACCCTCTCTGTCCCCGCGTCTGTGCACGGGACAGACCCTCTGTTGCTGCCTCTCAGGTCGCCCGGGTGGGCAGCACGGGCTCGCTCTCTGCTGACGCCCCTCAGTTGCCCACACTCCCGCCATCCGAGGTTGGGGCAGCATCCCGAGCCACCCTGGGTGGGGTTGAGCTGCGGTGCGCACCGGGGCAAAGGCTGCGTAGGAGGGCTCGGGAGCAGCCGCGCCTTCCGATCCGGCTCACGTCGGATCGCGACTGCAGTTGGTGGCTTTCCAGGTCTGGAGTGCTGGGGAACTCAGGGTCCGCCAGTGTCCGAGGAAGGGCTCCATTCAACGAGCCTAGGCGTTTGGGTACCGCTCGCTGTATTAGATCAGAATTTTCAGGTGGCCCAGAAGCGCTCTCTACTCAGAGGATGGATTCCTGATCCCCTACCTGCCCGACCCCGGCACTGGAGGGAAGAGTCTCAGAAACTTTCCCCAAGTCTTTTTTTTTTTTTTTTTTTTTTTTGCTTTCTTTTCTTGGGGAAAAGAATTTCCCCAAGTCTTTTCCCCACGTTCTTCTCCGAACCCCTGAAGACCTCTTCGTGTTGAAGAGACTGTGCTTGAAACGACTTTAGTGTGTTGTAGCCTTGGCCGTGCCTGCTAACTTGTTCGTCCAGTTTGTTTAATCAGTATCATATCTACCTTTGAAAACGACGGTGTGAATTAATTGAGGGCTGGTAGAACAATGCCCAAACGGTGGATGTTTCTGTTTGGGCGGGATTTTCGCCACAATGTAATATGTATTACTCTAAGTTCTTTCTTTATTTTAACCAGTATAACGTATAAACAGCCAGTTAGGTCAAATATACGAATTTAGAGATCATAAACATTGTTCCTCCTTCTCAAGTTCTACTTTTGACTAGAATTTAGAATCTGTGACAGTGTTACTTTTTTCGAAGAGCTTCGGGAGCCGTTAGTTTAACATAATGTCCATCTAACTACCGTACTCACCTCCATTTGCACGGCCAAGTGTATACTTGGTTGGCATTTAGGAACTAAAGTGATTGCACTTTCCTGATTTTGGCCAAAAAAAAGGTAAAATTAGTTCCTTAATTGTCTCTAGTACATGCCCCCTTTGCTGAAACCAGTCATGAGTATTTAAATTTTTACTGATTTTTTTTTAAGGCTCTGAAAGATATTTGTATCGTGTTAGAAAAATCTAAAGTAATAGGATATCAGTGTGTGTTCAGTGCTTTGAAACAAATATATTGCCCATGGAAAATTATTAGCACATGTTCTATCTTTAGAGTATTGAAGTGTTTGGGACATGGGGGAAAAAATCATTGTTCTATGTTTTTCTTAATCTTTTCCTTCTAGATAGCGACCTAAGAAAAGACCATGAAAGATACTGACATCAAGAGACTTCTGTATACCAATCTTCTGTGCATATTTTCCATTGTCCTAAGCATTTTTATCCCATCCGTCTTCTTGGATAACTTCTCGATATTGGAAACTCACTTGACCTGGTTGTGTATTTGTTCTGCTTTTGTGACTGCTGTCAATCTCGTGCTATATTTAGTAGTGAAACCAAATGTATCTGCTAGAAGGAGTTCATTATCACATAAGGTAAGGTTTGCTTATTAATAACCAGTTTCTAGATGGAAGTAATAGTGTAAGAATGAAGCATTGTGCCCCGTAGTGGCGCCTGTCTTTAATCCCAGCACTTGGGAGGCAAAGGCAGGTGGATCTCTATGAGTTCAAGGCCAGCCTGGGCTACAGAGCTACTAGTTCCAGGAGATTCAAGGTTACCTTGAGAAACCCTGTCCTGAAAGAACCAAACAAAGAATGAAGTATTGTTATATCCTTGAGTTATTTACAGCATATAAAAGGAACCAAATTCACCCCCAAAAGCAGCAGCCTGTTACTTACAGTGTTTGATAGATCTTTGTTGTGTATTAATTGTGGAATTTGGCTCCTTCAGTGCATCACAATATAAATATGAGCCTGTACAATCATTGTTTTATATCATCACTGAACATAACTTTAACACACTGCAGTTTATTTTCATTTATTTTTGTACATTTTTTTATGTGGGTAGGTGGGTTACACTGTGTGCAAATACATGTGGAGGCTGGAGGACAACTTCAAGTATCATCTTTAGAAACACTGTCCACCTGTTCTGTACAGGGTCATTCATTGTCTGGAGCTCACCAGGTGGTAGGCTAGGCTGGCTGGCCAATGAACCCCAGAGATCCTCCTGTCTCTGCCTAGTGCTGGGATTACAAGTGTGCCCCATACCTAACATTTTACTGTGGGTTCTAGGAATCAACTCAGGTCCTTGTTGCTAATTGTCTGAGCTGTCTCCCAGCCCATGGATATTTTAAAAGTTTGTATTTTTGTTCTTTGGTAACTTTGTACGGGCACACAGTGTGTTTTGATCAATTTACTCTACTCCTAATCCCTACCTAACTTCCTTCCCTTTTTGTCATTGTTGTTGTTATAACCTCCAGCGTCCCATATCCCTTATCATGGATGTGGGGCCGTCCATGGAGCATGGTCAACCTACCAGGGAGCACACTCTTAAAGACAATTGACTTTCTTTGCCTTAGTAGCCGTCAGCTGTCAATAGCTTCCTCAGCTAGGGTTGAGGCCCAGCCTAGGTATTTGCTCTCCTTAAATAAGTGAATTTTCCAGCAATTGCAAATTAAGTCATTTCACACATGGTCTACCTTGACTAAACAGTTAAAAGTTTTCAGATATTAGAACCATTTTTTTCCAGAATAGTCACTATTCTATGACCCTTGACAAATGTGTTAAATTAAAATCCTCACTGAATATCCAATAATATATAAAACTCCGTTAGACTGTTTTTGCCACCTTAACTGACTTACAGTTTAAAATGTTATTATGTGTTTTATAATTATATCTTCTTGAGTTTCAGGTCAAGTGTGTTCCAGGCATGGACTTATTTGTAGATATTCAAGCCTTTAAAAATATTATTTATACAGCAATATGAATATAATTTTGGAAATTAGTATTTTGCTTTTTTGATGTAATTTCTTCAGTTTTGTTTTAAAATGAAAGAAAATAGTAGTATTTATTATTTTCTGTAGATAATTCATGTGGGATCACTGTGGGTTTTGTATCCTGACAGTCTTTATTAATAATATTGTAATCACACCACATAAACAGAAATCAGTTTTGGTTTTTGTAGTGTAGAGTATATTTGTGTGATATTTAAGAAATATTTTATTGTGTGTGTGTGTACGTACATGTGTACATGCAACACAGCTTTCATATTGAGGTCAGAGAGTAGTTCTTTACTTTGATCGTGTGGGTCCCAAAGATTGAACTCTGGTTATCAGGCTTGGAGGCAAGCGCCTTCACCCGCTGAACCATTTTGCATTTTCTGTAGTTTTGAGGACTGTGTATGTTGTGAGACGTGATCCAGCTGTTTCAGACGCCGTGGGAGCCGCGTGTATTCATGTGTTAATTGGCAGCGTTGGTGGCTTTTAAGAGGGTCTTGCATCTTGTCTTCAGTGTACCCCTTTCTCTCTTAGGTCACCAGGGGTTTGAAGTGCTGCATCTACTTCCTTCTGTCTTGTTTTTTCCTTCATATCATTTTTGTTCTGTATGGAGCACCGCTAATAGAGTGAGTTCTGAATATTTACTTTTTGTTTTCATGTATTAGTTTACTAAATGATCTGCTAACCTCTAGCAACTATAGTAGAGTCATAGTTTGATTTGATTAATGGATCAGGGTAGAAAAAACTATCATTGTCCTATTTTTAGTACTGTTATGTTAAAAACATTGAGACAACTTAATTCTACATATATTTCTGTTATTTAGCTTTCTGATACTCATCTGTACATTGTAAACACCATATATACATTCACATACATACATATACACACACATTATAGTAATTAGTGTGTGGCTGTGAAAAACCTCCAGGTGTCCAGCCTTTTGACATTACAGCATGATGTGGTCATCTACAAAGTTGTATTTAAAGACCTTGTGATCATATTACCAAAATCTGGCAATTTTGTAAGTTTATGATTTGGGATGCATTCATAGCTATCCTTGGATGCGGGCCATAGGCTGGACATGCCTTGATTTATGTAGGCAACTCGCTATTGTAATATGTGTATATTGGCTATAAATAGTATTTCAGTGATCAAATATGATTTTAGAGTAACTGAATTTATTTTCTTAAGGGACATAGATCCCTTTATCAGATATCAATGTTTATATTAAAATTTAAGTCTTTAAAATTGGCTAGTTTCAAATTAGTGGAAACTAAATTCACAAATATTTTTTATATGAGACATTTCATTTTAGCAGTGATTAAATGATCATGGTGAAATGTGTGGTTGTACATGCACATATAAAGCTACAGGTGCAGATACGCACATAGTTGTATATGCACAATAAACTAACAGATTATTCTATTTCATGCAGGGCAGGCAAGTTTTCTTGTCATGGAAAATGGTTTCTGTATAATCTATCTTAAGAGAATCAGTGATAGACAATGTGTTCCATAGTTCAAGATTTTATCAAAATGCAAATTGTTAGACTCCAGACATAAACTCTTGAGGTGAAACTTGCTGATCGTTAGTCTAGTCTCTTAATGTTAAAAAGCAAAAAAGCAGTTAAACTTCAGAGTTCTGAAGGTTGTTGAGGAAGAAAGCTAATTACCTAGAACTGAGCTTTTTGATGGTTTTGTTACAAGGCCTCAGTCTGGATCTTCAGATTTTTAACATTTTTGAAATTTGTGATTAAAGCCAGGTAATTTCTAGGATGTCTTTGCAGCTAGTAGAATGATTTAGTCTTACTTAGTGGGTCTCAGGTAGTTTTTCAGAGTCAAGTGTAAGAGGATTCTTGAATAGTGAATGCTCTCACAACGGTGATAGACGCTTGTGAATACACGGACCCCAACACTTTTGAAAGGTTAACAGGTTTTCTTTTTCATCCTAGGTTGGTGTTGGAAACATTTTTATTTGCAGTTATTCTGTCTACTTTTACTACAGTACCTTGTTTGTGTTTGCTAGGACCAAACCTCAAAGCATGGCTGAGAGTGTTCAGTAGAAATGGGTAAGTTGAGCATTTCTCTTTTAGTGGCACTAGTAATTCAAAAGAACTACAGAAGTCTCTCTTGTTCGCGTTGGTGTACTCGTCCTGTGAGTGTTTCGAGGCGTTTGTCTGCCTCTCCCAGATGCCAGAAGGGGCGGTGCTGCTGGAGAACAGAGGCTGAAGGTAGACAGTTTGAGAGAATTCTAGACAGAGAACTCCAGCTCCTGCCTCCACGCTAGCGAGACAGAGTACTACAAGTACTCGGTCCTTCTGTGCATTTCATAATGTAGAAATGAAGTTCACAATCTCGAAATGTTTCGTGTAGCCATCTCTTTTTATGGTAATGCTGAGAGTGCAAGCTTCACCGCGTCATCTATGATCTATGTAGCTACCATACCCATGTTTTCAGCATATCTGAGTTAAAGTTTTAGCTTCCTTAAAGCCACTGAGATGATAGATACTAAACATGGTTAATTTTTAACTAAGAAACCAGGCGAGTTAGTCCTCACGGTTTGCCCTATTTATAACCCAGCAGCAAAACTTCTGGAGCGTTTACTGTGTGTTGCACATTATGCTGGCTCTGTGTGGGCTCCAGAGTGCTCAGATTACACTGGAGGGGAAGGGCCGTGTCTTTCACGGCTACGAATGGAAAGAGCAGCTAAATGGGAGTAGAGGGAGAGAGAACAGGGCTGCACAAGGGGACTGGTCTGCGGTGGATGGCATCAGAAGTCCCAAAGGCAGGAGGATGCTTCTGCAGGGTGCTGGAGGGGCACAGAAACTGAAGTCAGCTTGTGGTTTGTGTGATTAGGAAATTAGCTCAAGGAGAACAGAGCGTGGGCTCTGGGTAGCCTGTCTCTGTAAGTTACAGTTTTCTTTGGAATGAGTGGTGGTTATTTTTTATATGGTCTTGCTGTGTTTTATTTTTATTTTTTCTGGAACTGCTGTCTTTATGAGTATAAAGTTTCTAGGATGGAAATCCTTACAACTGAATATCGACCCCTCCCCACAGTGTTAGCATAGTATCTCCAATGGAATTAGTTTATTTTTAGTTTGAAAATTTTAAATATGGAAACTGGCTGAAACTTTTAATGGTTTAGCTAGATTAGTGATTTTGCCAGCTTTAAATTTTGTGTCAAAGTTATATATTTAGGGGACACAATGTAACCTGGTTCTATAGTTTGTCTGTCACTAGAAAGTTTTGTGTTCTAAAACTTAACTGTACTTTGTAAAACTTTGGCGGAATTGGAAAAGATGGAGTTAGAGTCATAATGCTTGGAGACTTCATTAATGACAAAACAAAGAAGTGAAGAAATTAATAAATATGGTAGCACAGTTTTACATTGAACTGTTATTGAAACAATTCAACAACACACACTATATTAAATAATATTCTTTTTATAGGAAAAGACAAATTTGATTCTTAGCAGTTATTGTGAAGTAGTGAAAGATGGTTATTGGAAATCTGAATATGGCTTATGATACATTAAGTAACCTAATATAGTTGGGAGATGTAGTTATATATATTCCTTATTTATTTATTCATGTGTGTATATGCATGTGCATGTATGTATGTTCAGGTGCTGTTGTGCCGTAGGGCATGTGTGGAGGTCAGACAACAACTTTGGGTGGTTGGTTCTTTCCTGTCACTACATGGGTCTCAGAGATTGAATTCTGGTCAACAGATTTGGCAGCAAGTGTTTTTATCTGCTGTGTTATTTAGGTTTCTTTTGCTGCAGTAAAGCACTGTGACCAAAAGCAGCTTGCGGAGGAAAGGATTTATTTATCTTACATGTTCCAGTCATAGTTTATCATTGAGGGAGGTCAGGGCAAGAAGTCAAGGTAGGAACTGAAGCAGAACCATGGAAGGATGCTGCTTACCGGCTTTCTCCTTTTGACTTGCTCAGCCTGCTCTCTTACACACCTTCATGCCCAGGGATGGCACTACCCACAGTGACTACGGCCTCACAGACCAATCATCAATCAAGAAAATGCCTTACAGATCAATCTAATGGAGGCATTTTCTCAATTGAGCTTCCCTCTTGATATGATGTAAAGTTATGTCAAATTGAACCATCATGCCAGCTCATGGGAGAAAAAAATTAAAAACAATATACAATTCATGCACTATTAGTGTCACCTGCTGAAACATGAAATGACGATTTTTAGTACAGTCACAGGTCTGCATACCCACCACTAGAGTCAACTTTAGGGTTTTTTTCATCACTTCAAAAGTTTTATATTCTTACGTCTTATTGCTACCCTGTTACTGTGTCTAAGCAGCCATGAATCTTGTTGCCCTCTCAGTAGGATTGCCTGTACTGGGCATTTTGTATAAATGAGCCCTACAGTTTATGATCTTTTGTAACTGATTTCTCTTACTTAGCACAATGTTTTCAAGGCTCATTCATGTTGTATCATGTATTGATACTTAATTTCTTGCTATAGTGGTATTAGGGATTAAACCTTGGACCTTGTATGTGGGAGGCAAGCAGTCTACCAACTGAGCTGCATCCCTGGCACTACTTAGCTTAAGCAGAAAACCCACCAAGATTAAAACTTGTGTATGGAATGCAACAGTTATGTCCGAAATTGGAAGGGTAGAAGAGGTAGAACCATGGATCTCTAAAGAATGCAGAAGGTGGTGAAGTATTGGTTATCTCTGAGGAAAACATCTAAGAAGCTAGTAGATAAGCTAGAGAAGCTTTTCGTGGACACTTTTTAGCTAGCCTGTGAAATTTGAGCCCTATTCAGAATGAGAATAATGAGTAAGATATTGAATTGATTTCTTGGTTATTGAAAGTTAGGCTTGTAATAGGAAGCTGTTAGGTTCCTCATATGCCACCGAAATGTCACTAGACTATAAAAGCTACCCTTCCAAAATTTCTAGAGTAAGATAATAAAAATCAAAGAGCAAGCGTTCAAGAAATGTTTATCAAATGGATTAACAAATATTGGGAGCATCTATCTCCCAATCTTATCTCTATCTCAATCATATGTCTATCATATCTCCACCCTAACTATAGTTTGTCTCAATAATTCTGTTTGCTTTTTAAGTAGCAGACCAGCAAGTGTGGTACATGAATACCACAGAGAAGAGTACAGCTTTGCCAGTTAATGCATATGGAGTGCACATGACCCTGTCATTAGAGTGAACAGAAGTTTCTGTGTCTCCATATTGATTAGCGTAGCTAGAAGCATTGGAATGAACCTAAGATGCTGAGGGTGAACAGGTCTGTTTTGAATTGGCATCTCACCGAGCTTCAAATCAATATAAAACATTTATACTACTTTTAAGTGAAATAACTAAGTTTTAATTTATTTGTTCATTTGTATGTGTATGGGTTTTGCTTTCACATATGTCTGTACCTGTGTATCCCTAGTGCATGGAGGCCAGAAGAGGTGGTCGGAACTCCTAGGACTGGAGTGGCAGATAAGCCAGCTAGTATGTGGGTACTGGGAATCAAACCTGGGTGCTTGGAAGGACATCAGGTGCTCTTAGCCGCTGAGTCCCCTCCAGCCCCTGGGTTTAATGTATTTATTTGCTTGTTCATGTAAATTTAGTGCTGAGCTGAAAACGCAAACATTTTGAACTTGAAGATTGAGACTTCTATATAAAGGATCAATTCTGATGCTTTTGAAATTTAGATACTTAATTTCATTAACAGGCTTTCGCCATAAAGTTATTCCAGAAAAGTAAACAAAACCACTTCTTAGAGAATGTTCTTGTAAATAAACTGATGACAAAAAAGTAATTTGGTTTCTTAAAATATTTTTCCAGTTTCTTGTTGGTCTGCATAATATTGAATATACTTGATTTGCAAGAGTTTAATTTGGTTTGTCGCCTTGTATTTTCACTGCGTGTTCCTTTCACTGTGGACTGTCTTATAAAGGAGAGCATAACCTAGCATATGCCTGTGCTTTGCAGTGAAGTTTGCCTTTTGATTTCTCAGTTTGTTTATGCTGTTATTTAAGTGTCTGAGTTAGTGCTTGGTCCCTTGAGCTAAATATGTTCCTGGATAGGATGCTCAGATCAGCTCTCAGTAACACCTGTTCTATAGATGAAAACAGGCTTCTTTTTGTCATCTTTATATTGAAACAGATTTTATATTGAGAAAACTACCATGGATATTGAGTCAAAGATTTGCTCATATAAAAATAGGTAACTTAGTCTGAATGTAGTCACACAAACTTAGCAAAGATTTTAATATTCATTTAGTGGGGAGAGTTTATATTGAAAATTGTGTAAAATATTTTTAGCCACCAGGAGGAGTTGTACCCCCCTTTTCCTTAGATCAGATTCTATTTGGATTAAGCAGGTGTACTTACTGTTAATTGCATCCAAGTGGCCGATACACTAGCATACAGGAAGCACTCAAAGTGGCATATTTCAGTTGATATATAACATAATGAATTTCAGTGAAGCCAAGTAATATGGGCAGGTACATAGGCCTTATTGTCATGAAGAGTGACCTATAGCATTTCTTTAAGTACCTTAAAATTTTATTCATAGCATAATAATAGGCCATTTAGTCTGTTCTCAGCCCTACTGGTTATGTGCAAATGTTCTATAATCATGACTGTACTAGTAGTAATAATATGCTTTAGATAAGTTTATTATGGAAACCTATGAAATGAAAATAAACTGGTATCAGTCCTGCAAGAAGTTAGTAGGAATTTGCCTAGTTTTAATTTTTTACCATTTCTTTGTTATAAAAGAATGCATGTGTGTACATATTTTTTAGCCTAAGTAGTAAAATACATAAATTTTGTAGTAAAGGCATATGATTTTAAATAAGATTAAAGTTAAAAATTCAAATAATGGAACAGAAAGTTAGAGAACTAATAATACTATTAAAGGAACAATAATTACAGATTTTATGTACTCTAATTTTGTTTCTTCATATAATGTGCAATTTTGAAACAAAATCAGTTACTCTAATCACTGCCTTATAATTTAGTTTAGCCCACTGATATATGAGTGTGTGTGTGTGTGTGTGTGTGTGTGTGTGTAAAATGTATCA